GCTGTATGACACACTTAATGCCTGGAAACAAAACTTGAACAAAGTGAAAAACAGCCTTTTGAGTCTTTCTGATACTTGAATTTTTATGCAAACCATGTTGTGCTTTTGGAGAAGAAAAATCTAAATGATAGTAAAACATTATGAAGTAAAAAAAAAATGATGGCGTGAACTTAAAGGACATTTTTTTGCCTCTGCCTTTTTTTTTTGGTAGTTAATCCGGTACTTATTTTGTGTTCTTAAATATTATGATCCTTTTTTGTGGATAATTTGGTACTGATTTTTGTCTTCCTGAGGATGATAAGCCTTTTTGCGGTTAATTTGGCACTGATTTTTGGGATGCTCAGAATTCTGAACAAAGCAGTGTACTATGAGTAAGAAAAGATCTGAGACCACCTATATTTGGAAAACGCTGGATTGGTAAGAAGCTTCATTGCAATCTCAAAGGCATGTGGCTCACTGCTCTGCCTGAGAATGATGGGTAATTTCTTCCTGTGTGATTTACTGCCTTTGCAAACCTTCTGGAGGGTCAGCACAGACTCAAAGGCACACAATAGCAAATATAGCAAGGATAGGTCCCAATTGTTCTAGCACATTTCTAGTATATGTTTGTTGTCTCGGTGTGATCATGACTAACACTTCCTTTCACACTCAGAAGTGATCTAGTTTGGATGACTATAGGCAGCCTCTCTTTGAGCTTCATAGATGATGTGGCATGTCCAACACTTGAGCACAAGTGTTAAATTTAAAATTTTTTCTTGTTTGTTTTATTCTCATGGAGTGTCTTATGGGCATCATCAAATATACTTAGGAAGTTTTTCTCATATCTATTTTTTCCTCTCTACAACAATAAGCATCTTGAGGACATTTATTAGAGGGAAATTCCTTTTCTTGAGGCATTCACACTTTTCCTGGACAGAACAAAGGAAATGTGACCCTTAACTTTATTTAATTAGCTACATGATTTGCTCTGGAGAAATGTGTTGGCTTGGAGTCTGAAGCTGGCAGGGATAAACAGCCGATAAAGAACTTAATGCTGTAAATACTGGTCTTGGGAGTTATCTCTGTTCTTTCTGCCCTTTGAAACCAGAGATCTTTTTGCTTCATCCCCTTTCCTTAGAATATCCTGCGGGGTTTTGCATCAAGTCATCATGACTGCACTGATCCCAGGATCATTCTGGAAGCACAATCCCTCCCCTCTCACATAACTGCCAACCAATATCTTTTATTAACCAATAAAAATGTAAAGAAGTGGATTTGCACCTTTAAAAATGATGTTTTCTTCATCTGAAACCTTATGTAAAACACTAAAACATATACCAGACAAAAAAGAAAGTCGTTCTAGTTCAAGTGCAAGAGGAGTGAGAAAGAGACGTACCCTCTCAGGCTCAATCCTTCTGCTTTCTCTGTCAATTCCTTCCTCTATAGGATGACCCTTGACATACATACTCAAAGCCATACAGTTCTTTGTGAAATAGTTGGGAAACTACTGACTTAATTATGACAGTCTCATTGTACATATGGGTAGCTAAACACAGAGCCAGTATCAGAAAAAAAAAATCTAGATTTGAATCTTGATTTGGTAGTTTTCACCTGTTTGTTCTTGTCAGGCGCCATCAAGTCCAGTCTGACTCATTATGATTCCACGTTCCAAAGAACGAAACAATACTTGATCCTGTGCCATAAAAAACATTGGTATGTTTGAGGCCATTGTTGGCTGCTACTATGTAAATACATCTCATTCAAGGTCTTATGTTTTGCTGATCCTCTATTTCACCAGGATTGATCCCTGATGATAGCAGAAGGTACATGAGACAAAGTCTTGACATCTTCTCTTCTAAGAAACATTCTGGCTGTGTGTGTTTCTTTTCTAGGATAGATTGGTTCATTCTACTTGTGCAGTCTATGATACAGTAGACATTTTTTACCAACAACATAATTCAAAAGCATTGATTGCCCAACTTTGGCTTGCTTATAAGGCAATTGAAAATACCATGGCTTAATTAGTGGTATTTTAAGTCCCTCAATGTGGTAACTTAACACTTTAAAAAGGTCATTTGCAACAGATTTAGTTCATGAAATATGTCTGTCAGTTTTTTGACTGCTGCTTCTGTGGATATATATTGTGAATCCAAGTAAAATGAAATCCCTGACAACTTCAGTCTTTTATTCATTCAGTCTGCTGCTTCATTTGCAAGGATTTTTGTTTTCTTTAGGTTGAGATCTAACCCATACTGAAGGCCATAGTCTTTGATCTTCCTTAACAAGTACTTCAAGTCCTCTTTACTTTCAGCATGCAAGATAATGTAATTTGCACATTGCAGGTTGATGAGTCTTCCTCCAATCTTGATACCACATTTTTCTTCATTTAATCCAATGTCTCAGTTCATTTGCTCAATATACATACTGAATCAGTATGGCAAAAGGATATAACCCATTACACTCAGGTTTTCATACCCTTTCAATCTGTATGCAGAACAGATTATGCAAGAGGCTGGGCTCTATGAGGAGAAGTGTGGTATCAGGATTGGTGGAAGATCTATTAACAATCTGTGTTATGCAGATGACACAACCCTGCTTGCTGAAACTGAATAGGACCTCATGCACTTGCTGCGGAGGGTCAAGGACTGCAGCCTTCAATATGGATTGAGGCTCAATGTCAAGAAGACAAAGATTCTCACCACTGGACCAATTGGCAGCATCAGGATGGATGGTGACGAGATTGAGATTGTACACAGCTTTAGTTTGCTTGGCTCCACAGTCAACACTCTTGGCACCAGTGGTCAGGAAATAAAAAAAAAACATATTGCAATGGGAAAGTCTTCTGTTAGGGACCTCTCCAAAATACTGAAGAGCAGTGGTGTTTCTCTGGAGACTAAGGTGCCATGGTCTTTGATATCACTTGTTATGCATCAGAAAGTTGGACAATGACCATGGAGGATAGAAGAAAAATTGATGCCTTTGAGTTGTGGTGCTGGAGAAGAGTATTGAGGGTACCATGGACTGCTAGGAAAACAAACAGATTCATCCTGGAAAGGGTTAAACCGGGCAGCTTCTTGGAGGCAAGGATTCTGAGGCTCCGTCTTACATACTTTGGACATGTTGTAAGGAGGGACCGGTCCTTGGAGAGGGGCATCATGCTTGGGAGGGTGGAGGGACAGCACAGGAGAGGAAGGCCCTCTACGAGGTGGATTGATTCAGTGGCTGGGGTAATAGGGATGGGTGTGTCAGAGGCAGTGCAATTGGCACAGAATAGAGCAGAATTTAGGGCTGCTGTACATAGGGTCGCTATGAGTCGCAAGTGTCTCGACGTCACGTAACAACAACAACAACAAACCACACAATATCCTCTTGTTCTATTCAAAAGACTGCTTCTTGGTCTATACAGAGGTTCCCCATAATCATAGTCAAGTGTTTTGGCATTTCTGTTTTTTACAATATTACTCATAACTTATTGTGCTCCAAACAGTTGAGTACCTTTGCATAGTCAATAAAACACAGGTACATATCTTTCTGGTATTCTCTGTTTTCAGATAAAATCCATCCATCAGTAATGATATATCTCTTTCCATATTCTTTTCTAAATTTGGCTTGAATTTCTGAAGTTTTCCTGTTTATCTATTGTGACTACTACTGTTTTTGCATTGTTGTTGTTGTTGTTATGTGCCATCGAGTCGTTTGCGACTCATAGCGACCCTATGCACAATAGCACTAAACCCTGCTCTATCCTGTGCCAGTCGTACTGCCTCCGACACACCCATCCCGATTACCCCAGTCACCGAATTAATCCCTCTCATATAGGGTCTTCCCCTCCTGCGCCGTCCCTCCACCCTCCCAAGCATGTTATCTTTAGTAAAATTGTACTTGCATATGATATTTCTACCTATATAGCCATTGTAAATGTAAATAAAATTTGTGAAATCCCATTTCTTCATCTATATGCTTTATTGTTGTAGTTGTTACATGTCATTGAGTCGACTGTGACTTATAGTGACCCTATAGCTCTGAATCCTGCCCTATCCTGAGTCAATTTCACTGTCTCCAACACACCTACCCCATAACCCCAGTTACTGAGTCAACCTATCTCATCTAGGGTCCTCTACTCCTGCACTGTCCCTCCACCCTTCTAAGCATGATTTCCTTCTCCAAGAAATGGTCCCTCCTGTCAACATGCCCAAAGGATGTGAGATGGAATTACAAAATCTTTGCTTCCAAGGAATAGCTTGGTTTCACCCTCTCTAGGACAGATCTGTTTGTTCTCTTAGCAAGCCATGGTATGTTCAGTACTCTTCTCTGGCACCACAATTCTAAGGCATCAATTCTTCTTCTGTCATCCTTAGTTATTGTTCAGATTTCTGATGCATAGCAAGTAATTGTGAATACCATGGCTTGGATCAGGTGCACCTTAGTCTCTAGACTGACACTGTTGCTCTTTAGTACTCTAGAGAAGTCCCTGACAGCATATTTTTCCAATGTAATTTGTCTTTTGATTTCCTGACTGCTTGTGCCAAGTGTGTTGATTGTGGAAACAAGCAAGCTGAAAGTGTTAATAATCTCAATCTCTTCTCCATCTATCATGATACTGCCAATTGGTCCAGTGGTGAGAATCTTTGTTTTCTTGGTATTAAGCTTGAATCCGTATTGAAGACTGCAGTCTTTGACCTTCTGCAGCAAACACCTCGAATCTTCCTCAGTTTCAGCAAGCAGGGTTGTGCCATCTGCATAATGCAGGTGGTTGATGAGTCTTCCTCTAATCATGATGTCACATTCCCCCTCATAGAGTCCAGTCTCCCGAACGATCTGTTCCACATATAAGCTATAGATACTATTAAATTCTTGCAGGCTAGTTTCAAGGTAAATTATAATGCTTAAGAAATGACAGGCATAGTAC